CAGGCTGGGCTACGCCGGTCTCCTTGGGAAGATCAACCAGAGATTTAGCATTTGGCGCATACGGCAGGACTTCGCAGATGGGGCTCTTCTTCAGCTGCTCGGCCATGTCGCGGTTGAACTTCTTCCCCTCCAGAAGCTTCATCAGCTTCTGTGTGAAAACTTCGCCGCCGCTGATCTTGTCGTCGAACCGAGGGGGGCCCAGGTCCAGGTGATTGACGACCCTTCCGTCGTAGATAGCAGTGACATCCACCTTCTCGTAACCGATATCGACGACCGTCATATTGGGGAACTTGAGGCCGTACTGGGTCGCAATTGCGCTGTTGATCATGCACAGCGCAGGCGTCCGCGTCTTCTCGAAGATGTACTGGGCAATCGCTTCGCAGTCGGGTCGCGTCCACTGGGGCGAGGCCATCAGCATGATGGGGGTGTTGTGGTACGTCGTCGTGAGCATGCTGTGGACGTGGTCGAGGAAAGCCAGGAAGGCGTCCATGTTGACAATCTGGCCACCTAGATTCAATTCCCATGTTAGTCTCCAATTGATTGACCAGTCTTTCTCAGAATTGAGGCGCTGTCCGTTCTTTGTCCCCCCAAGAATGAAGCAAGAGCTCCAGGATCCAGACCATATGCGCGCGCCGACGTACCTTGAATAGGCCAAGTAGCTCCCTCGTCCTCATCCACATCCTCCACCCACTCCTCCTTCTCGACGCCGTCAACCACCCTCTTTCGCTGGTAGGTGTAGTACGGCCTCCACTCGTCGCCGTCCTTGAACATGCGCGTGGGGAAGCGGTGCGTAGGCGGCGTCAGCTCGCTGCAGCCCAGCTGCGCCATGGTCGTCCGACTGCCAGGGCAGATGATGAGGATCTGCTCCTCGCGCCACTTGCCGCCCGCACTCGCCATGTTCGTGGTGGTGGCTGTGGTGGTGTTGCTGGCGGTGGTGTTGGTGCGTCTGAGGCTGCTGCAGCTGAACAATTTTTCCCTGACGGCGAAGAAATTGGGCGGTCTCACTCCTCCTTCAGTGACAATGGCGCCCTGCTCTAGCGAGTTGTGGCGGCGGTGATGCTCGGAGGCGGGCTCGGGGTTGTCGTCTTGGACGGCGTGGCGAGTCTTGCGGTTGGACCTGTCGCGCCTGCTACTGCTCTGTCGCGAGGGTGTTGAATCTCTGCGCGCCCGGAGCCTGTAACGGTGTGGCTGGTCGGGTGTGGCTGGTGTCGTGGCGGCTGCGCCAGACCTAGCTCTCCGGACGTCTGAAGTCACGTGGCTTCCATGCTGTCGTCTGTTGCCCTCATCTGAATACTGGTTCTGGTATTCATTCCAAAGTCTGGACTGGGGAGTGTGTTGGAAATGAGAAATTGGTGTTGTTTGTCCCTTTTGGGGCGTTATTATTGTTGTTTGTTTCGCCATCGCTTCCCTCATTGCTGTGTCGCTGCTCCGGGGAAGCAACAGCCTCTAGAAGCATCAGTCGACACGATAGAATAAGAAGACGTTCTTTGAAGATGAAGTTGAGAAAGAAAAGAAAAGGGATCAGCATTGCTGGTAAAAGAATTAAGTAGGATGAAAGAAAACATTTGCTTGATGGCCGTGAGCGCGTTTGCGGGTATCCGCAGCTGTCACTAACTGCTCACCTTGCTCTCACTTTCACCAGATGCAACTTAAGCGGTAATTCATGGCTGTCCAGTTGACGCTTTCGTTCCAATTTCATAATCAAATCGCACCGAGATTATGTTCTATGGCATTTGAGGCCCTTCTTCGTCCTATGTTTATCCCAGGCGATTATATGTAATATCCCATGAGAATGCCCCAAAAGAAAGATAAAAAAAACATCCATCTCATCATATCCTGCCCAACATACGACTGCAGTGTAATGGTAATTGCATCCCGTTCCCCATCCATCGAAGCATCATTAAGTAAGTAAATAAGCAAATAATATGACCAATCCATGACGCCCAAAATCCTCATGGACATGTCCATCCATGTTTCTTCATCAGGGTGGGCGAAACGCCCAATATACACCATCTCCCAGTTTGGGAGGAAGAAGAGGAATAAACAATATTCTCGAACGCCGAAACCCTTGTATATGACCAATAAACACCTCGCCACCCATTTCGACCCAGAGAAATAAATTGTGGCTACTTGCCATGCCGCCGACAAAACGATAAATAAGATCAGAATCAGACTCGGATGCATTACCGTGGGTAAAGCGATGGCGCCTGTAAGTAAATAGGTCTTTCCACCTGGCGGTCGTCTAGTGTAATGTTACATTTGATATTGATGCATTGTATGATAATCCACCCCGCCTATGAGGCAGAGACAGTGGCCACAGTCGGCTTCTCGACTTGTAAAGAGCTCTCGTTTGTCTTCTCGGAAAGCAGTCTCTCTACCCCAGCCTCAGTCTTTTTCGGCGTGTCAATGACCGCCGGAGGCTCAGCCAGATACGTCTCAGGCTTCTTGGGGGTGTTGTCGTTCAAATTTTCGCCGAATGAAAACCGTTGCTCGGAAGTGGGGGTCGTATATGAAGACTCCTCAATGCTGGACCTGTCGTCGGTGACGCCCGTCACTCCGGTGTCGACTGAGAGTCGGCTCTTGCCGATCGAATCCGACTTATCGTCTGCATCATCTAATGATCGTGTACTCTTAATGGACTCCTGGTCCTTAATCTGAGTCTCATTCTGGTCCACAGTTGAAGTCTCCAGAACTGCCTCATCCTTGAGAGATTCGCGAACAGTAGCTGCCTGGGGAGACACTTCGAAAGCCTTGGGCGTCCTCAGAGAAGACTCATCGGCCTTGGAGACGTTGATCGTAAGCCCCTCTGGCTCAGCGCTCCGCCTACGTGAGACTGTGCGCTCAGGGTCGAGAGAGGAGGTGTCCTTATCCTCATCTTCACCGGCCGCCAGCTCTGCATCGCTAAAGTTCTTCCGAAGAGGGCTATGGGGATATGGGCTCATTGCATCTCCGCCAATGTCGCTTCTGCTGGCCGTTGACGCTCGCGCGGGATTTCGTGTAGGCAGAGGCGGGGGGATTCTCTTGGGGATCGTTACCACATTTCCCTTCGCCTGGACGACACGAGACGCCACAACTTGTGTACGCGCAGGTTGCACAGTTGCAACCTCAAAAATCACAGGTTCTTCCTCGTCGTCATCTTCGTCATCCTCATCCTCATCCTCATCAAGCTCATCATCATCTTCTTCCGCTACCTTCGACCTCGGAACAGGAGTATCCTTTTCAGGCTCATTCTCCTCCGCGTCTCCGTAGTTGCTAGATGCTTTCGACGCGGTGTCGAAATCGCTAGCAGCAGCATGCAGTGGGCCAAGCTTAGAAGAGTCGACTGTGGCTGCGTTCTCGTCTACCAAAGGTTGGCGGATTCTATCCAATGCCGACATGTCAATAACAGTGAAATCGATCTCCTCCTCTTGTTCGACATTATCTGCCGTATTCTTCGCAATCTCAGATGATCCTCGTCCTTGACCATTCTCACTGCGACCAGGGCTGGGGCTTGTCTCAGATGTGTTACCAGTATCAGTTTGTGTTGCAACATCTGTCGTTTGACTTTTCACAGTTCGTGTCGACATCAAGCTACCACGGTTACTCCTGTTGTTGGACGTCTCTACGCTCTGGCGTTGAACCTTGGACAGAGAGCTCATGCGCTGAGGATGGAAGTCGAGCTGGCTGCTGGTCGGCCGAGCACGGGAGCCTGCCTCTCGAATTTCCATCCCGGCCATTTCCAAGGCAAGAATGCCAAACGGATCAGGATCTTCTGTGTTGAGTAAGCCGAAGGCACGAGGAGCTGGAGAAAGCGGCGCCACCGAGAAGTTTGGTGATACGATAATCGCGTCTGACGGTGCTGGCTCGGTGGCAATTCTCCCAATCATTGAGGCATCGAAATCTATCCGTCCCTCCGCCATCTTGATCACCTCGAATAGTGGTTGAGTCTCTTCCACATGCCGGGCCACAGCACCGGAGAGAACCTCCATTTGCGACACTGCGGATCCATAGAAACGCTCGTTTTCGTTGGCGCGCTCTGTGAGAATAGAGCCGTGCAAGTTTACCTTCTGCTCCTGGCCCCGGGCCTTCATGTAGGTCATGACTGTGTTGCCCAGATCTCGCACGTTGATCTCGATGTCGCGAGCCTCCATCGAAACAGAGGCACCGTATGCAAGGCCAACATCTTCACCCAGAGTGACCTTGGGGCGGGTCATAGATTCGAGAGCGGCGAGGCTGTTGACCACCAGAACGCAATCATACACGTCGACTCCGATGATAAAGCTGAGGGTAGGGGTATGAAGCATGATACCGGATGGTGGTGACCAGGTCCCGTCTGACTTTCTCGCTATCAAGATTCCAGAACCACCGGAGCCAGTCATCCACAAGCCATTGCGCATGCAGGAGAATACGGCGATACCGGCTGCATTCTGAATGATTTGTTTCGGAATCTTCTTATAGATTTTGACGGGCGTTTTGGGCGGTTCATCGTTCGTGGGTGAGACTACGGGGCTCGATTCGTCGTCGATGGGGCCGAGATATCCATCGGCTGGGTACAAACTATGTTAGCCAGGGGAACAGCGACAATAACGGTGAACCAAGCCAATTTCGAGGCCATGGACGGGGGGCTAGGGGGAATACGAGGTGTGGCGATGCATACCGCAAAATGACTTGATGATTCGAGCAGCCTTTTCGCATTCGAGGTCGAGACTGGTGGGCCAAAAGGTTTCCCCGTGGACGCGGGTGGTGCTCCTGACGCTGAGACTGCTGTTTCTGTTGGCGGCGGCTGTGTTGATCTTGGACAAGCTGTTCGTCTTCGTACTGGTGCTGGATCGCTTAGACCATCCCCAGAATCCGCCTCCAGCAGCGCTGCTAGTGCTGCTCGCGCTGGTCACTCTCTGGGGCGAGGTGACTGTGTCGGCGGCATCGTTCGAGGCAATGGCGGATCCCGAGGAGGTCCTCTTCTCCCACGAGGGTAAAAGAGAGGAGACACGCTGCATGATTGCGACGGTCTATTCGAAAGAATGGAAAACCTCTCCGTCGTCGCCGTCGTCGCCAGGCGGGGTACGACAGAGAGTTTGAAAAGGATATCGGGGCTTGGGCGGGAGGTGCTTAACTGGACTGGCCAGCAAGCCGTCGTGGCGGTGATGACGAAAGTCGAAGTCGAGGTCGAAGTCGAAGCAGTGGAAGGCGCTGCGACTGGGGGGGTGCGGGCTGCATATGGTCTTGCTGATCGCTGTTGGCCCGGGCTGGTGTCGACGGTACGTAATTGATTTGCCGGGCTCCAGCAGAAGCACGGAGCAGAACAGCAGCAGTAATATAAGGTTCCAGGACCTTCCTGCCAGGTCTGATTAAGGGATCTTATGCTGCGGAACTGGGCACAGCACCACTTGGAGCCGAGTGGATTCTCCCGGGGGGAGCCCAGTGGTGGAGCTGAGGGGGCCTGGAGGGACAATCCGCTGTTCGTCAAGAGCTGAGATTGGGCCCGCAGCCGTCTGCCTGGGTAAGGTAGGTTCCAGAGCCAGGTAGCCGGAGTGTATGGAGGTGCCAGGAAGGCAGGGCGAGCAATGAGAGCCGGGTAACGAGTGATGGCCGCAGCGCAGCATGTAAGATGGAAGACGAAAAGCAAGTACAGAGCATCGGCCGCTGGAGATGGGGCTACTATTGGCGAGCAGGCCTGGCCCGGGGGACCCAGAACAGGGCGGTGCAGGTGTCGGTAGTGTGTGTATGTACTTGGGCTAGTGCAGCGCAGTGTAGATGGAGGCCCTCAATCCAGTAAGTCGTGGAACAAGGGGACAGGGGCACGAGATGCACATCTAACGGCCAAAGCCGCTTGGTAATAATAACTCTGACCTGGTCTGGCCTGGCCTGGAGTCCGCGGAGGGCACGGTGAGGTGGATTGGAAGATATGGTCAGTTCTGGTCTGGTATGAAACCATGGGAAGAAGTCAGGATTTTCTCCCCCACCACGAAACGAGGAGCGACGACGTCAACCTGTGTGCCGGGCGGGATGGATGGTGTCCTTACGGGCAATAAGTAGGCATGTCAAATGCAATTCAAGACAGGCTTTTGGGCTGGGGGGTTGCACGGCAGGACGGGTCCATGTCATCGTGCCAATCACTCTTGGCCCCTGCTTCCCACCCACTACTACTACACATCATGTATGGGCGGATGGCTAGTCAGTCGTTGCCATTGCGAGGACGGATGACATTTGTCACCGGCATCTCGTGCAGCAAGTCGTGCTAGCCGATCGATGGAGCACGAGAGAGAGTTTGGGGAGGGGCCCGTGCCGCCAGTCCAACACACACACAATCCGTTAGTTGACAGACAAGGATCGTCCCATCTGCCTTCAATAGTCTGCCTGGGAAGCTGTGTAGCAATTTACCTCGCATCCCCCATCGTCGCCTCGCTCTACGGATCATGTAGCAATGTGCTCCTTCCAGACGCAGAGACCGGGAATGGGAAAAGAGGGCCGACAAATGAGCCATCAATTATCAATAATCTTGCATACGCACTGCGCCTGCTGGTCTCATCACATCCTTAGACAACTGTGGGCAGGCAGGCAAACACTAATCGATGCCCCTCCACACCCAGTGCCACTTGCAACATGATGTCGCTCCAGTCTACCATGTAAGGTCAGCATCAGAAAGGTCAATACAGCCAGCGTGGTACTATGGTCCATGTTTGCCGAGCGACCTGGGGGCCGTGAAAATACTAGCGACGAACGTGACCTGGCCTTGCACGAGGTCCTGGGTGTCAAGCTACTAGGTATGTAACCGGAGTGCCGGATCAAGCCAAGCTGAGCCGTTGAGGGATAGAGTAGAGTCGAGAAAAAAAGCAACTTCCGCATGAGCCGCTCTCCTTCACCTCGCCTTCCGAAGACGGCGTCCCCCGAACCATAGCGCTGAAGAGGGTTTGGTCAAGATGACCAAAAATCTCAGCAACTTAGTGGCTACCTAACCTTAACTGTTTTCTTCCACCTCTGTGATGGATGTGCCAGACGGCAGAGTCGAGGCCCCCCGTCTCAATCCCTCCCTTCCTCCCTCCGTCCTTTTTCTCTGCGCAATCCTACCGGCTGCCCTCCTCAACCCCCTCCCCCTACATACTGTAGGCAGGAGGAGGTGCTGCTTGAGGTCGCACGCATGCGAGGCGGCTGTCCTAAATTGGCAATCAAATGCAGGGGCAGACAGGTTTCCAGGCACACAGCGCTTTGGGCGATCTGGGATAGATGCGTGTGGGCACCGTCGCTGCACATACCTCCGCCCAAGTAGGCTCAAAATTAATGATTATTGATGGAGCTAGCAAAGTCACTCCTTCGTGTGGCTCAAATTAATGCCATTATACGATGCTACAGGTAATATAGTATACACCATGTGGCGTTCAGCTAAGGCATCCGACCCCTGCAACCAGAGCTCTATCAATAATCAACCTCTGAAAGGCTGACGGACACCAACATGGCCCGTTCGAGCTGGGCATGAGACGAACCAATGGTTCCAACTCAGTTCAAAAAGGTGACGGATGATCGCCCAGGCTACATGATCTGATGGCAGAGCATTGGCTGACTCGCAACAAGGCTTCCTCTCTCAACCTCCCACACTCACATCGAACCCGACAGAATACGACCCTGGTTGGACATGCGCAAAATCAGCATTACCATCCCTCTCTGTTACATTCCTGGCCTAGCCTTGGGTCTCTCTGCCACTTAGATCGTTTATCACTCCCCCTTGCTCCCCTAGAGTTGCATGCTTTTCCATCGCAACCGTCCAATACTTGTGAAAGTTCATCCTTACATTCCATCCGAAACAGATGCCAAGCCTTCCTCTCCTTCCTCTCAACACGCACATGGACTCCTTGGCGATAGCGGATCATGAGCCCCTGCATACGCCAGAGCCTCCAGCCGCTGCCGGCCAATCCAGATTGTCCGGCAAGGATTCCCTCATCTCCACACACTAACACGTATGCTCCCTCACATAACACCAGCAATACACATGTCCATAGACACTTCACTATCATGCAGCTTCATTCGCGCCCAACGCTGAATTACCAAATGGAGCATAATTCTTAGAGAAGGCAAAGTCCATCCCTGACTGAGGCTTGCAAGTCAGAACACGTATCCCTCCATCGTAATCATACCATCGCCAGGCACCGAAACACCAGGTGCACAAAGAATCTTCCCGTCTCTACATTCCTCTCTTAGAGCTAATCAAATAAGAAATAAGTTTAAGACACCCGTCTTTATTCCAAACATGCAGACATCTCCAATTGCTGCCCAAAAGAGCCCTGCAGTCATCAACGACCCATGCTGATCCAGCAAGCCCGTTGGTCCTGTCTCACTCTCCAATATAAACCGCCTTCTCTATTCTTCGCGTGCCCGCGCTCAGACCTCATACATGCCAGTCGGTGAGCTTCTTCCTCCCACATCTTGGACTTGGCTTCCGGTGCGGGTCTCACATGTCCTCCCCTTCCTTTTTTTTCCGCCCTCCACTGGCCCCCTCTCCATGTCTCTCTTTCTCTCCTCTCGTGTTGGACGAGATGTTACTTGGGACCTGGTCGTGGCCGGTGGGACTAACACATATTCGCCAGCGCGTCTCACCGTGCCCAACCTGCTCGCTCGACAGAGGGGACGCCGTTCTCCCCGTCCCCGGGTGTCTCACAATGATTTCTCCTCCGTCCCGTCATGAGGGTGAAATGGCCCCTTGTTGATTGTACACTAATTGCCCAGGCATATCACGATCAGCATGATTCAAGTACGACAAGATTAGATACTAATCCACACATGGGAGGAACTGGACGAAAGGGCCGCATCACACATTAGTGCAAATGACCTGTCCACCGTTCGGGCATCCACGATTTCCGCCATCTAATCATGGCCCTCATCATCCCCTCCCAGAGGGTCAAAGCCCACCTCAGCCTCAAGCCAGATATGCAGGCCACAAATAGTCCAAGCAGTGGCGTTGCTGATAAGTGACTGTTCGTTGCCTCTTTCGTCTCTCCCATTCCCTAAGCGTAAAAGGAGAACCCCGTTTCTACTATCCCCAGCTGTTCTCTCTGCCTAAATTGGCAAACCTCAGGGAGAGGTTCGGTGCAAGAGAAAAAGCAAAGCCCATGGAGACACGGGTTGCCTCCTGTCCCTTCTGGATGCCTTCTCTGCTGTAGGTCTCATCCTTCGAGGATCCATGTCTCACTCCGCCTCCGACCTGTGTGATCTATGTCTGCGCCAATGTCCACCTGTCAGTGTCGTGTCACTCAGGAAATCAAATCCGGCGCCATCCTTTTGCGCCCCGTGGCCCGTCCTTACGCAACTTGCAAGGTAGGTAGTTAGCATCAAGTTTTTAGGTTTACTGTCCCCATGGAAACAAACAGGATGGGCTCTGGCTCTGATTTAGCAGTAGAGACAAGTTGTAGTTCATGGTTCCCGATAGTCTGTCAAGTTAATATCATGAACATTGATATATGAACTACACTATTTTGCCATTGACTTTGAGGAAACCAAGAAGAAGAGAAACGTTTGTGTTATATCCGCTATAGAGTTATCATATACTGTGCTGTTTATCTTACTGTTCCTCTGTACATATCTTTGTACATTGATATCGAGTTTCGACCCCGTAGTTAGCCTGTCAATCAGCCAAAGAATTCCAATATCCAAAGCGAAACTCATCCTAAACAAAGAAAAATCATCACATCTGATCATACTCAAGTCTCGTCTCTCCAGCCCGCTTAACATTCAACAACCCGCCCCCTACTTACTCTTCTACACCAGACTCTCCATCTTACCCATCAACATCTCCAAAGCTGCCCCCCTCGCCTCCTCATTCTCATCCTTAAGATTGGCCATCTCAACCTTCAGATCCCTCAGAGAAGTCAACGCCCTCTCCGCAGGCACGGCCTCTAGACCAGCCAAGTCCTCCCTCGTCAAGAGAAACCCATCAACCTGCAACCTCTCCAGCGGCACATCCAGCACCCACAGCGAGCGCACAAACTCCCGCTGGACCTTTCTGGCGCTTTCCTTCTGCAGCCTCACCGACTCGTCCGGGTCAAACACCGTCGCCACGTCCTCGTCCCACGGACACTCCATCCACGTCAGCGTCAGGCTCCTCAGGTTCGGCAGCCCCGCCAGCGCCCGGCCCACGAGCTCTACGGGGAACGGCAGGCACAGCGTCCTCGTGGTGGCCACCGCCCTGGTCCTCACCTCCGGCGCCGCCGCCACCGCCCCCTCCTGCTTCGTGGTGCTGAGGATCCGCCTGACCGCCCTCTGCGACTCCTGATAGCCCGTCCACACGTTGACGAGCCGCTCCGTCCGCACCTCGGGCTCGTAGCCGAACATGTGGGAGAAGGAGTCGTGGTACGCCCGGTACTCGTCCAGCGCGGCGAACACAAACTTGACGTCGCGGATCCGCGCGCCGCACTCGGGAAACGTTGAGCTGAGGCCGTGCAGCCGCGCCATGTCCCGGCGCCAGGGCAGGCCGGCGAAGCTCGCCTGCGAGAGGAACGGCCGGGCCTCCCGCGCAAGGTGCCGGCTCGCCAGCCTGAGGTTCCTGAAGTCGCCCAGGCTGAGCTGCTCGACTATGGCGCTGAAGAGCTCGGCGGGCAGGGAACCCAGCGATGGGGGCGCTGGGGCCGGAGCCGTGCTGCTTTCTGGTGCGTCCGCGACAGTACTCATTTTATACGTCTTGTTAATCAAAGGGGAGGCTGAACAAGGTGAACAACGGCCGAGAGAGTTATAATAGTGACAGTAGTTAGCCTATCCGTCGTTCCCCACGTTCCCAATGGCAGATATTCTTGTATCCACCAATCAGCACAAGCCTAAGTGGGCCAGCTCGAAGTTCATCAGGGTCTTGCTATTTTCACTTCCTTTGAACATCAGAGCTCGTTCGCCGAACCCGACTTAACGGCCGCCCAACCAGTCAGAAAGACAGGCTATGTAGCTCTGTTTGAATTAAAACATTCGTGATATCATATACGTCAGCCTCGCCTTCGAATACATCAACAATTGTTCCGCCATCTTCAGCCATGTTTCGGTACGTCAGTAAGAACTTCTAACTGTAACCCCCCAGCTTGTTGACCGAAGGTGATGGTTCTTCCACTTTAGAGCATATAAGAATCTCTCACCAAGGACCCGCATGGGTGTGGGTGCTGCAGTCATCGCATGGGGCGGCGTAGGCCTCTACTTGTCAGACGAGGCTGAGAAACGGTTCGGCTACACCCCGACAGAAAAGGATCAAGAAGAACTTCGCAAGATGACGCCTCGCATCACCACAGTGGATAGGAATGAGAATCGCTGAGCCAACCAACTCAGTCAATTCAGCATCAGAGAACCAAAAAAAAACATGTATCTTCACTGCAAGTACCTATTAAACAATATACTGGCCTACTTTAATGTCACACGGAGTTACGAAATGGCAATCACATCACGCGAGAAGGGATCGAGATATACAGCTAGATAGTTTCAATTCATCTCAACTAAACACACGCAAAACCCATCGTCAGACGTCGGTAGCATCACCCATGAAACTATGCTGGTCACAGTAAACTGCGAAAGATAAGGCACAAGAGCTTCATTAGGTACCTTCATCAAAACCCAGCCAGTCGTCAAAGTCGTCATGATCCACCTTCAGACCACCGCAGCCGATAAAATCCCCTGTCTATCTTGATTTGAAAGTCTAATGCAATCTCAACTCCGCTTTCCGTCTATCTTCTCCAAATGCAGTGCGAAGAAACAAAACAAGGAAAAAACTAAACCGCCGCCGGTGCCTTTTTTTATGCATGAGAAGAGCGAAATGCGTGCTTCGCTTTTCCGGGTCATTCATGTAATGTACCACTTCCCTCCTGAAGCCCCGGGTTTGAGCATAGCAGAGAAACGAAGCAACTTCAAAACAAACAAACAAGCGAACAATTAAAGAGAAAAAGAACATCCTCGTTCGTGACCGAATGCAACGCCTCTGAATGCAACCACCTCCAGTGCTTTTTGATGAATCGAGACAATGCTAGCCGCCCAATGTACCAAGGTGGCCTTGACAGACACCATTCAAGCGTTCCCAAATTCCCAATCAAGGGAGTTTCGAGGAGCGTTCCACGCCGGAAAGAGAATCCACAGATCCCTTCCCGACTCTCATGTAATCCTTTCTTTTAATTTTTTTTTTTTGCCTTTCACAAGGTTTCCGTGTTTGTCATTCCATGGGTGAGAACAACAGTCGCCAAATACCCAATGCCAATTTACCGATGCCACATCTCAATGACTGAGTTGACTCGTAAGCCTCGAAAGCCAGCAGAACCAAGAAAACCAGGCCTAGCCACAACGCCGGGAACGAACCCCACCTGGTTCCGAGTGTGATCTTGCGGGGGTCCGCAAACCCTGCCTCGGCGGGGCGGCCCAGTAAACGTTTGACTAAACAATTCGGCAGTCGATAAAACTCAGTGATGCAAGAGCGCAAGGAGCATAGCGGATGGAGTATAAGGAGAAATGCATCCGGCGGTACTATACGAACGCGTATGGTAGAGACAGAACAAATTCAAACGTATTCAGGGTTGTGATTTTTTGGGGATTATGAATATTGGAAGATATTCCCGTTGTTGAGGAATAAGGACACGCCAGAGCTAGAGTCTGCTTCGCCATGGCTCGCTAAGTTCAGGCCCTACCTTGATTGCGGTCTACAACAGCAACAAACAACTGTTAGCGGACCAGGCAGATAGAATGAATTATAGTCGATTTACTGACCAGGCTGGAACATCTGAGACCAATCAAGGCCCGATTGTTGGTTAGAGCTGGAGTTGCCGTACATGGGCACACCGTTCTGGGTGGGGGGCATGCTGTAGCCTGACATCTGCTGGCCCATGTCGTTGCTTCCATAGGGTTGAGAAGCGCCCATGGGGGCCATGGTCCTCCTGTCAGGGCCATTGCCATTATCAAGGCGGTTGATGCTGCCGGATCGCGACAGCTGATTTTGGTCATTAGCCAAGTTGTTCATGCCGTCGGAAACGGGAACCATTCCGAAGGGGTGGCCCATGCCGTCCTGGGGCATGTTGTTCAGCCCGTTAAGCTGGTTGAGATCTCCCTCGTTGCCAAGAGGAGGACCCTTCTGTGCCTGGGCATTCTTCTTGACGTGGGCCTGGGGGTGGGACAGATGGCTGACGCCTGTGGGGTTACCCCGGCGAATGGAGCACTTCTGGAAATGGCGCTTCAAGATATCACTTCGGGAGAATGTGTCGCGGCAGAGCACGCACATGTACGGGCGGTCACCAGTGTCTGTTTGCGAGTTAGTGCTAATTCAGTCGCGTGCCGTGAGGTGGTGATTTTGAGGGGTTTACTTACGGCGAAGGAGATGACGCTTCAAGTGCTTGGCGTGCAAGTAAGTTTTTGTGCAGTGAGGGCAAGGAAACTTTCCGTCTGCATCCTTCACAGGAATGACCGTGCTCTTAGCACCGGTAGTTCCTGCTGCAGGAGCTGCGGGCCGGCCTGGCGCACTGGGCAAGATGCCGCGACGACCCTGTGAGCCAACAACGTGGGTTGGCTGCTCGCTCTCGGGAAGAACGCCACCGGGCTGCATCATAGGAGGGCCGTAGGGCGACTGGGTGCCTGGCTGCTGCGACATGATACCGCCAGGAGGCATTGGGCGGAGAACCGGGGGTCCGCGATTTCCACCAGCAGGCGCAATGGGTTGCGGGCCAGACGACGCGGTCGTCGACTGCTGCATCATGGGAGCCGAGGTAGCATATCCTTGAGGAGGCGGATACTGGCTCTGCTGGGTCATGGAGTAGATGCCACGGCTGCTCGTCGGCTGCGACGTTTGCTGATAGCTCGGCAGTTGCTGCGAGTTTGGCGTGTTGGGCGTGCCAGGCGTCCGCGGCGTATGCGGGTTGCTTCCGTAGAGAGGCTGCATGGCTGAGGCAGGCGGCTGCAGAGGAGGAAGGGTCTGAGGAAGAGGAGAGCCCGATTGAAGCTGGTGGGGAGAAATCGCGGTTGGAGATGGATACGTCTGGGCGGAGGAAGTCGCGTTTATACCATTGGGGTATTGGGGGCCGTCCATAATCTTGTTGTATAGAGAGACGCGGCGCGAGCGTGTAGTTCGGAGCGGAGGCGGTGGGCCAAACAAGGGGAGAAGAGTACTACTAGGACTCGTCGAGCGATCGAGATTGACCGTCAGAGAAGCCAGGAAAACAATTGATTTCGAGGCTTGAACGAAGTCGCACTGAAAGGTGACGCGCGCTCGACAGTAGGAGCACAAGAGAGAAGGCTGGTGAGACTGGCGAGTGGATGCAACAAAGCGTCAAAGTCCCAATAAGGTGGATGAGGCTCGTGGCAGGTCCCTCTTGGTGGTGGTGTTGGGGGGGGAGGCTTTGAGGTGGAGAAACGGGTCTGGAAGCTTTTTATTTCTTCTGTCCGACAGAGGGGGCGCGAAGAACCTAAGCCTGGTCGCCGGTGCTCACGGGTACGTATCTGGGCAAGAAAAAGCCGGAGGGTGGTGGGATGCACGCAGGGCCGTTTAAGATGGTGGCAGCTGGGCAATGGTCGAAGGTGGCAAGTGGGCCTTTCGGGTGTTGTTGAGAACCACAAAAAGAATGGGTTTTGATGGAGACCCAGTTGCAAGAGTCATGTAAAAGAAATGTCAGATGGATAGCGCAGAGCAAGGAACAATTTTTTTCCCTTCGCTCGAACTTCGGACAACCGCGACGGGGCAATCAGGACTTCTTCAGGGACGCGCAGTTGGGTGCCGAGGAGAATGATGGTGGAGGAACAGTAAAAATCGAAAGGAGGAAAAGTTTGGGAGGAGGAGAGAAGGGGGAAAAAAAACTAGGTGTGAGCGCAGCTGACGACGGTGCCTGCCCGCTGCAAAAATGGAAGTGCGTAGCGCACCAAACTTGCTCTCTTCTCTCTCGCGTGCACACACACTCGCACTCACACACCACTACAGACATTCTACACACCTACATAACACACACACGTAAGGGCAAATTGCCGAAAAAAATACGGGCAGAGCTAGAAAGAGAGCAGTTGGCGTACTAACTTCGTCGGCGGCAGGCAGGCAGAGGTACCTCGCCAGTACCGGTACTTCCGAGTCACGCGCATTAGTGAACTGAGAAATTCCTCACTCATGGCCCATGGCCACCTAGCAGACAAGATCCCAGTAGTGCCCACTAGTGCAGGGTACTCCATACCTGGGTCCCCCCTGCCAATTGACTTGTCTTCTCACCCGCTAGTACGTACCGGTAGTATGTACTTTTTTTTTGGTCAGGTGGCATGAAGAGCAGCTTGAGACAAGAGCTTTTTTCTCATGTAATATTAGCACCGGAAGGGAAAATCGCTGAGCGAGATAATCGTGTCCCTTTTGGCCGCCTCCTGCGACGCACGACTCGAGAAGGCAGAGCACAGGAGCCGAAAGCAATCCGCTAGGCAAGCTGTAGAGGTTGGCTGCTAACACCGATAAGAAACTGGTCCCTCGGCCGAGCACACCAAACTTTTCGAGGAGATTTTTGTCCAGCTCCTCCTCCTGGGATTGGTCATCGTGAACATGCCCTAGCTACCCCTGCAAGCGACGTCAAAATTTCTTGGCACTGGCGGTCGCTGCACCTCACCTCATGCCTGGTCGTACCGTGGGGGCAGAGAGGGACATTCAGGGCCGCCGATATTACCTTACCTCCTCTCAGATGGGAAAGGTCCCGCTCGCTCATCACTACTCCAAACCTAGTAATAGCTTCACGATACTTGTTGCTCGAGTTTTGATGCTCGGACTTGGTTGCCCCGCCCGTCAAGTTTCCCCCAGCCTACACCTTTAGGTAGGTAGGTACCTATGCGGAAATGTGAGATGGGATCTGTATTGAGAGGGGCGCATATGCGCCTTCACAAAGCTGAAAATAAAAAAGTGAGAACGCCCATGTACCCTTAACCGCTGCAAAAGCAAGTTCATTGTTGGTGACTACCTACATGGTGCCAAGACATACGACCTAGTATTATGTATACGAGTAGGGTCAAATCACAGTTCGCATGTAAGTACATTACCTCATAAACCGCTGTATATCCGTGATGAGGGACTTTATGGAGGGTTTCCTTGAACAGTAATGTCTCGTGAAACAAGCAACACGCCTTAGCATGGTCTGCCAGCCTCTTGATTGCGGCGAACACGTCCTGGCGCATAAATAGATGATTTTATAACTCATAGCCAACAGCTAGCGCATTCCTTTTCCCCAAGCTGTAGTAAGACACGCAGCTGGGCGTAAATTCTTGGGCTTCGAGCAGCTTCCCTGCGGCTTGTGATTGTTGATTCTGTGCCCAATTGCCTTAAATGTATCTAGTTGTTTCCACGATGTGCAGCTTCAGTGTGTTGTAGAGCATCCCAAAAGAGCCAAGGCATCAAGACAGGGTATAGGTACAACCTAGTAAAGCCACCTCCCGTGATGCGTGTGGCCAATGTTTGCAACAGCAGGGGTCAGTACTTGTCTGGTCTTGGAACCTTGATCCCTACCGTCTTTATTCTCCCTTTTGCTTGGTGAGACCACCCAAGCTAAGACAACGGCTAGGGCTTCTCCGACAACCTTCCAGACCGTTGCGCAATTCCGTCATGATTCATGAGAAAGTCTTAAGCTCAGATTTCCCATGGTCTAGTCCTGAGGAATGCAGGCGGCCGAGGAGAAAGGGGTGAGTCAAAAGAAGGGAAAAGAAAGCAAAGGAAAAGAAAAAAGTCTTCTTTCCATCGGAGCGCGACCCGACCGGAAGTAGACATGCCACCGCTACGCGTTTAAGAAAAAAAAAACACCAAGCCGAAGCCGCTGGCGCATATCACGGCAAACCTTCTCCTGGTACATAAGCACAGTGGTTGTTCCAGAGTTACAGTGCATTACCCCTAGCATTTAGGAACTAAAACACTCATAATTCTAGGTGATCGCGTTTCTTCATTTCCCATGCTTCTCCGATACCCACGCAGCCGCGGCATTGCGTAATGTTGTCGAGCATCTGGGACCAAAGGGTGCTCCCAACCGGGGTCCCATTCCAATGGAAAGGCACGCGATGGAGCGGATGTGGTAGGTACTTGGAGGGAAATAATAGCACATCGCGTCGGATCTACTAAGCCGAAATGTCGGGGCTTTAGCCGACGCTTGCGTCTGAGCGCACGGCGTTGCCTCTCTCCTGCCGACGCACAGAGGGCGATAAGACCCTTTTGATGGTGTGTAGGCGCCTTTGCCCCCTGCTATTCCCGCGTTTTGCCTCCCATCGAGTTACGTGCATTGGCCTCCCTGCGTCTGACTTGGCTGCTGCCTGCCCACCCGCCTGCACGCTCGCTCGCCTGCATTTGCGTCAACGCAACGCCAGGGCAAACTTCTTTTGATCAAAGTGGGTTGTAGCACATCAATTGGACGGTGTCTGTTTATCTGATCTACGTTGGAGAGCACACAACCGAGCTGCCATTGTTGTGGATGTAGCGGTTCCACTGAGGGAAGGAGATATTAAGACCAGTTCACTTTAGAGCGTTCCATCATGAACCCCTCTCCTCCCGCTGTCCCGCTGGCTGGAGCCCGGATGAGATGAGGGGTTCGACGGGAAGGGATCCAGTGAATCTAGAGTTTAGAGGGGCCAGAAAAAGCTTCGAGACTGCTCCCAGAAGGAAGTGTGTATGAGTGGAGATTCCGTGTGGGAGCATTGAAAAAAAAAAGGGCAACGCGATGGGCCATCATGGGTAAATAGATGAGAGATGTCAGATCCACTCGATCTATCCAAAACTCGCCTGCTGTCTCACCAGAATCGAAGGGAAAGAAAGCAGCTCAGGAAAACAAACTCCGCAGGAGGCAAATCTCGAGAAGCGCTGCAAGCGTCATTTCAGACCTAGCTGAACAGGCATTATCACACCATGGCTAAACACGGTGCTTGGTTAGGCGCGGACAACCAAAAGAAGAGAGCAACAGCGCAATATCGACCCAAAGATCATGACGACAAGCCGCCTAATCCCGATCCTCCACCGACTTTTTCTTTTTTTATGAAGAGAGAGAGCGACTTCGGCCAACGCAAAGCCATGTCGGGCTCGTGAGCGCACAGTTCCCCGACGGATATCACTCCAATAATCTTAGTATTGTATCATTACCGCCTGCTACGGTCAACTCATATCGGCTTATTGACCACTAGAAGCTAGGCCATTGATCATCGAGGGCCAATCGCAGGATTGGGACAGCTCCTTAGCTGGCCGGTGGGGCGTGGCAACTTTGAGACTAGTCTCGGAACTAACAGCGTGGACAAATGAATGTGCCAAGATCTGAATCGGAATTATGTCCGCTCGCGACTTTGGAGTTGCCGGAGGCAAAGACAGGACGAGGTCGCTACATGCGCAGTAATTACAAATCCGCACCAGCGAGCACTACTGATGAAAGGGTTGTGGCGGGATCGAAACAGGCCTAACTTGAAGCTCTTGGAACGCCGTGTCGTTACGTAGGTGGTGGGCTGGAATCATGCATCCGTTCGTAACTAACGACCGTCCAGGTCTAGCCCGGTTGCATGCTTTTGGGCTTCTGGGGTGAAGTACTATTTTGATTGTCTGTGTTGATGGATGTTTGCTTCTGTCCATTCACAGGTCGCTACCTGCCACCAACAAGAAGCGCAATTACATACGCCGAGCAGCTCGGAACTGCTCATTCAGGAATTCCGAGTGTCTCGCAATGCGGTGATATGACTGCCAATGTCACCCCCTACCCCCTGTAGGAGACAAAATACGGACACTCTGACGGCGTAGCAGCGCATGCGCGGTCAATAAGCAAACAGAGGTATCGTGCCTTTTTGGCACAAAGGGCCTCCACCAGGGTGCATGATCTCGCCAGCCATGTTTATGGTGTGGTCTGGCTGTGTTTCGCTCCATCCATCGCGGGTGCTGTGATTAAGTTGGTCTCCAGCCTCTGGCCCGCTGAAGAACCTTGTCCCTCCTCCTGAGGGAACCCAAACCCACACATCCACGAGGAGCCGGAGCCTTCGAGCGAGAGTGTGACGCCGCATCGCACATCCACGATATCCACTCAACCGGCACTGACGTTGTGTGCCTGGCTACTCCGTACGTTGCTGGAGGTCGGAGCGGGACCTCGACAAGAGCCTCAAAGTGGAGAGAAAGCAGAATTGCCGTGCCGTGTGTGTGTGCAATACAAAGACAAGTCTCCATCTGGGCCCCATGCCCTCCGCCATGGAGACATGGCGAACCCACGGGAGAGGAAAGCATATGTTGGAACCCACGCCCGTAGGATATAATTCAATCCCTCCCCCCCTCCTCTTCGCCTTCCCGAGATATTTCCATGAACCTCTCCAATGTGTGATTCGGGCTCACCTGCCTTGTCCGCCAGAGGGAAAATCAGCCCAGGCCTCGCGCTATTTGTCGGACAAATGCCGAACAAGGCCACGCAAGTCCATGTACCTACCTGCTCGCCGACATGGACAGGCAGGACGGACATGATCAAACAACGTCCAGCCCAACCCCAACCCCCCATCTTTCGCGTCGGATCCGTCTCCAGCACTCAGAATCGTACCTGGGCTTATTGTGGCCAATGAGCAGCCTCACCAGTGCACAGACAAACGTGATTTCAACTCGCATGGCATCGTCGACGAGTCATTATTGCTCAATCCGGATGGTTCTTAGGATTCCAAACATGGAAACGCCAGCGTCATGTGCTTGTTGTCCTACACCTTCCTCTACGAGCACAATGAGAGAGGCGTGAAATGAATGTCACTCGTCTCGCGCGGGATTTCGGAGCTGGTTTCACCCCAGCCCGGGACATACGTAGTACCTAATACCAAAGGTACACTAGGCACACGCGCCTCGAGACGAGTCTCTCCCTCCCTCCAAAGGCCAGCCATCCCGTCCTATGGCTGCATTGATGTGATAGAAATGTATACCTAGATACCGTGGCGACCTGATCAGGTACCTACGGGCCGACGTGTTTGTTTGTGTTGTTGTTATTGTGATTCCTGGCCGCCAAGTCAATTGAGCCACCGCCATCTCCAGGGCACAGCGCAAGAATGATCGCCTCTGGCTATGGCTCTGGGCAATGATTCACTCTGCTGCAAGTGGAGCATCGCACCGTTGATCTTCAATCTCATGGACCGTGTGCCTAGCTGGGTACGTAGCCTCTTCCCTCGGTGCAGCTCTATCCCACTCTCCAGCTCGCCCATCTTGGACCGCAATGCCTCTTCCCACGGAGAACCTACGGAGTAATCCGTGTAGGGGACCAAGAGAATGTCATGGCTCAGTCCCAAGACGTCACCGCCAGGACCCTCGCTCGTTGATAAGACCGAGCGCGCAGGGGTGTGAAGCTCTAGCGCAACCTTCTGCACCACCCATGTAGTGCTACCAGATGGCGCCGGCGCGCCCCCCCTTCATTTGCATTGCGCTAAGGCTAGCATTGTACAGCCACCCATGGCAAAGTCGGGCAGGTAGAGGGAAGTACCAGTAACGGACGAACGGAATTACGGATGCCAGTTTTGAGGCCAGAGCAGCGACTGCGCGAGTCAACTCAACTTTTCAGCGGGTCAAAGCAAGAGGTTGGGGGTAATTTTTTTTTTTGTACAGCCACGTGGGAGTGGCTCTCGACACAAGCCAAAGCGCCCTCTTGTTGGCTGGGCTCCCTGAAAGCGCCCTAGCTGTATCAAGTGGCTGTCGCGTCTTTCTGCAGGTGGTAATAACCGTGGTTGAGCATATCGTGATGATTGGCATTGAGGATTATAGATCATTTCCTGATGTGATAAATTCTCTCATACAAGCGCGCCCTTCTCGGCGAAATGGCCCCTTGGTTGCTGCTGCATCACGTAATCTCGTTGGGTCGTGTGAACCAGCCGGCCATCCAAGCTGGCCACGCCATACGTAGCACGTAGCATGTACATGCGTATCAAGGGAAACCATTCGCCGGTGCGCGCTTTGTCAGGCAAGTGCATGCACCGCCATGTAGGGAACCTGTGCCTACGTTTGCCTGTGTACATGTACCTTGACTGGGATGTACAGCAAGCTGCTTTCAATACCAGAGCAATGTGTGCCGCCTGGGTCGTATCCGCTGCCCAGCGGTTCGCACGGCCAACTATTCTTAGGCTCCGATGCTCCATGATGTCTATTTGGTGGCAACCGTGGAGGTCTCGGCTGGCCACCTGCCAGAGCCCAGACCAACAAGCAGGCAGATCTATATGGGCTGGCTATGCTCCTGCCTGTCAATAAGGGAGAACTGCCATCTGATGGAGCTTTAATGGAGTTACGATGGGACCATCACCATCTGGTATCCGCCTCGGATCTCGGGTCGACCTTTCGGTTTGTGTATTAGCTGTACGGGTCCATCTTGTCTTGTGGTGTATTCAGGAGATATATGCTGTCCCTGGTGCCCACAACCCAAGAACTTTGTGGGGTGTTTGGAGTTCAGATGGTCGAAATGCGGGTATGAGAAGTGTTCTAGATGCTTTGATCGAATCCTCCTATACGTTTGGGCTCTCCAGTATATTTTGGAGTTATTTATGGCTCCCGTGCTGTCGGATGGTGATATGTTCCGCTTGTGAGCCTTGTTTACCTGTCCCAACACCTTTCGCGGCTTTGGTCGGCTTCGCACTGCTATACAACCCCATTATCACCGCCATGGCCAATATCAAACAATTCACATGTAGGTAGGGACGTATCATTCGGACCCCAAAGTCCTGTGCTTGGTCATAAACTGTAATGACAGGACTGTCCTCCGCCTCCCAACTTGCGTGTTTGTACTGGATACATCGGATCTTGACCGGTTGGATGATGGATAACTCACGTCACTTTCCTGCCGGACCTTGAAGTGTCACATCGACGCTGGTGTGTTGCATCCTGCGTCCCAATCTGGATCTTCTCTGGTAAATATTTTGCCGTGCAGTGGCGTTAATTTGTTCTTGCCGCCTGACAAGTGATGGGACAGGTCCTGGAGTATCTCCCATGTATCTGATAGTCACCAACATCCATACACCGCCCATGATGTCGAATGGAAACCTGTCATCACACCACAATTGCGAAATCACACAGTCATTATGCATTGCCCAACAATAATTAAGCAGCCGAAGGAAACCTTCCGCCGGAACATTAGCCAGTCGACGTCCACCCAGGAAGCAAACACCAACATGATGGACACGAGAACAGAGGTATAGGGTAGCAAGTAGGTGACAACCAGCATATCGAGATAGTTCAGCATTGAACTTCAACACAAAATCGCAATAAATAACCTAGTACTGAATACAATATCAAGCTAATTATTATAGAATAGGTAGTTTATTACCCTCCAATTATTATCTTATTATTATATTTAGTTAAAAAAAGAAGGTCTCTGCCTTGCGAGGAAAGAGCTTTGGTGTGCCATGTATTATCCCAGTAGCAAACCAGATATGGTGCACGTGACCTACAGTCAATTGGTTGGAGCTGGGGCTCTCAGAAATGCTGGCATTTGATTGGATAGAAATTGAACTGGCCATCATGCTTTTCATGGCAGCTTGAGATTTCAGCATCGGCAGTCTTGAAGACTGAGGTTGAGATCACAGGCTCACCATTTGAAATCCAATGGCAACTCCCGCGTCTTTACGATCCTCCTATGGGCGGTTAGCCCAGGTGAAGCCTCTTTCCGGTGGCCTGGGGATTGGCCAAACCGCCGCACGGGCAGCACCATTCTCGACAACAGCACCACTGTGCAAGCGCAAGCGATCAACAACCAAGGACGGCAACAAGAAGCGGGGAGTCAGTACAATCTACAGATCAGGCCCGAGGGAGCCTCTGTCTATGTCAGGCATTCCGCTACCAAAACCTCGCCAATTCGAGCCCAAGATCAAGGTCGATGCGAAGCATGGGCTGTGGGAGTTCTTCCCAGCGCCCGGTAAGCTCCTCTGGACGCCCGCAGAGACGGAAGAGCATGGCCGAGCGTGGACAGTCGAGGAGCTCAGAAAGAAGTCATGGGAGGACCTGCACTCTCTGTGGTGGGTTTGCTGCAAAGAGAGGAATAGACTGGCAACATCCATGGTCGAGTTGGACAGAAGCAAGCTTGGATTTGGCAACCGAGAACTTGAGCTACGTGACCAAGCGGTATGAAGACCACCACCCGAGCAAGAAATTCAAAGTGCGCATCGGCTGATATAGCAGTTTAGGTCAAGAGTACGATGAAGGCGATCAGGTTTGCGCTGACCGAACGGTTCTACACTTGGGAAGATGCGACGGCTGTTGCAAGAAGTGACCCGGAGATCAACCTCGAAGGCGGCGAAGGCGAGGCTTACAACCCAGAAGCTTATGAGGAGGACGTTGATGAAGTCAAGGGCTGGGCGACTGAGGATGCAACCAAGTCTGCCGACGCACCGGAGGTGGATGGGAACATCACCAAACCCGAGAGTCGACCTGCTCCCCAAGGCCCCTAGGGCATTACCATACCCGATGACTTGCTTCAATCCATGGCCTGAAGATGTCGCCTCGGAGAGGGTGCATTAATGGCAAACCATGCCGCTCGTGTTGCACGAGAAAGACTTCATCTAGGGCCCCCCACTGATCGAGGGCGTGTACATACACCTTGTAAAATAATCGATTATGCAGAGTAGATGTTTGTATAAATAATCGGGATATGAACGGAGAGGAATATAGAAATCTCCATGCACTGTGGTCTCCCTTAGCAATGCCATAGACGGCGATGGGTTGTTGCTACGCCTCGGGACTGTTTGCACCATGTGCCCCTTGAAACCATCCCAATGCTTCAAGTACCTGCGACCTGCCATATTGTCTTTTACCCTCGAGGAGGCGACCGTTTGAAACTAAACCGCGAACCCAGTATTGACCGCTGCATGAAATACGATAGCCTCCTAAAAGCCAAAGCCTGGTCGCCCGGGCTTGCCTGCTCTTCCTCACCGATCATTGTAGCCTCCACACCCCCCAACCATTGAAGTTCCACCCAAAACTGGCGGCGCTCAAAATACCCCGCCTTGCACCCAATCCCAACCACGTCTACTGATAGTTCACTGAACCCTGCTACTCATTCTAGCTCTTGCATAGCTGTCATCGACTCCCCCTCTTGAGTTCCTGTTCGACCCTGCCCCCTTGATCTCTAATACCAATACCTATCGAAAGCGGGCATTCACCATGGAGGAAATCGCAAAGAAGTACGATGTCATTGTGCTCGGCACTGGTAAGCTCAGCCGCCTGGAAGTATCCACACCCGCGGGGCAGCTTTGGGCTGTCAGGATCGGTGTGACGACTGGACTTTGCTAATTCGCCGTTCCTAGGCTTGACCGAGTGTATTCTCTCAGGGTGAGAAAGCTGAAGAACTAAGAGTTTATCGCCCGTGCCGTCAACTAACTCTCCTCTGCGCCTCTCAGTGTCCTGAGTGTCAAGGGCAAGAAGGTCCTGCACATTGACCGCAACGACCACTACGGAGGGTTCGTATTTACTACCTACGAGGCTACTCCCACGCATTGAGCTTTGCTAATTGATATTTCCTGACAGTGAGGCTGCTTCCGTGAACCTCGAAACGGTAATACACCCCGATCCGACCCCCGAAACTCGACCCCTCCCCTCTTCTCGCCCGACCCCTGAGTAAACGGACTCTGACAGTGGTGATGATAGCTCTTCAAGAAATATGGCAACTACAGCAAAGGCGAGGAGCCATGGAAGAAGTACGGGCGACTGAACGACTGGAACATCGACCTTGTTCCCAAGTTCCTCATGTCTTCAGGCGAGCTTACCAACATTCTGGTATCCACCGATGTTACCCGTTATCTCGAATTCAAGCAGGTTGCTGGTAGCTACGTCCAGCAGGGTGCCAGCAACAAGGCCACCGTTGCCAAGGTCCCCTCGGATGCTGGCGAGGCTCTCAAGTCCCCTCTTATGGGTATCTTCGAGAAGCGCCGCATGAAGTCTTTCATCGAGTGGGTTGGAAGCTTCAACATCAACGACCCCGCTACTCACAAGGGTAAGTGATCTGCGGGGTTACATCTTGGAGTGTTTTCAGGAAAACGGGCTGCGGTTGAGGTATCTGTATTGACGATTCTTTGTAGGACTGGATATCCACAACTGCACCATGAAGGATGTGTACGACAAGTTCGGCCTCGAGACTGGTACCAAGGACTTCATCGGCCACGCCATGGCTCTGTACCTCTCCGACGACTACATCACCGCCAAGGGCAAGGCACCCGAGGCCATTGAGAGAATTCGCCTGTACGGAAACTCCGTGGCTCGTTACGGCAAGTCCCCTTACATCTACCCTCTCTACGGCCTGGGAGAGCTGCCCCAGGGATTCGCCCGTCTGTCTGCCATCTACGGA